TGTCCCCCAGAACATTTCTACAGCAACCTCTTGAACTGGAAGCAGTACAGCTATATCTGTGCAGCACCGCACTTTGGCTAACCAACTCTTCCTCTCAGTAAAGCCATTTAGCCTGCTTGCAGCAGCACAAGACAGTTACACCAAGTAGAACTGGAAGTGGTGTAGGTTACTTCTGGTTCTGGACATCTATGAAACATTTGAGAAACTGCAATAGATTTTGTAACCCCGAAGTTGGTTGTTACAGGTCTAATGCAAAGCTTATTTAGAAGTTAATGGGACTCTACTGTCTTCTGTGGGCTTTGGATCAGGGCTGTTTTTTGGTCTGAAAGAATTTTACTGATAGAGAATATGAAGTTACTCAGTTTCATCCACTGTATATAGCATGCAGCAGTAACCTTTGAAGAGGAAGTAAGTAAGTTAGTACATTTTTCTACACGCTCTATTAGACTCAGCACATACAGGCCTTTTTTTTCTTTTCAGATTAATTTTCATAAGGGACCAGGACTGTGTCCTAGGAGTCAGTCAGAAGATATGATTTAAGATTAATACCAGGTATTCTTTTTAAAATTAGTATAAACTTGCTTTTAGTCAGTACAAATATCAATTAGCATTTCATAATAATCCTCTATAGGGTAATACTGCCCTGCACCCCAGTAATTCAAACCATTTTAGAAACAATACTGCTGAAGGCCCCTATGATGCAGGAAAGTACTATTATTTTCATGTTAGAGATAGGGAACCTGATGGAGAGAATTTTTTTTTTTTTTTTTTTGCTTGTGGCCACACAGCAACTCCATGGCAAAGACAGAAATAGAACACAGGAGTCCCGACTCCCGGACCTCTGGTGTCATCACTAAAAAAGTCCTGCTTTTTTATTTTATGTTCACAAGTTCTGGTATGCCACAGGTTAGGTCATGCTTACAATTTTGTAATTTTTTAAAAATGATTGCAAGTGAGATTGTAAGAGGCAGCATAGAACTTAGATCATATCTGAGTGCTTTGCAACCTGCAACACATGCTCCGCTCTTTGCTGAAGCTTTTACACCAAAAGGGCGCAGCTTGGACCACTGCAGTAGTTCCCGTAGCTGTTTGCGGTGTCTCTGTGTATGCCTAGATACTTCACAAACCCTCAGCTTCACTGGAGGTTAGCAACCTAATTAACGTGTCAAGGTTCTGCTGTACTGTTATATCAGTTTGAGCCATTTTTCAGTTTAATTTATGCTGTTCAGTAAAGGGTTTAAAGTAAAACAAAAAGGCACTCTTGTAGTGGAATAAGAGGGTTCATGTGGGAAACTATACCTGTATAATGCTGCATGTACAATAGAGACAAGGTGTCTGCCAGTAATCACACAATTATTTGAAGATCTGACAAATCATGACTAGCCCTCAGAGAATAAATTAATAATAAAAGCCCACATATCATTAAATTATATTAGGATTACAGAAATTACAGAGGGAAAATGCTTATTAATTAATTTGGCTTGTCCCCAGCTTTTTAAGATTTTTCCTGAAGGGATCTTTTCCAATTATTTGCCCAACCAGTTTTAAATAACTTAGGTAATAGATCAACAAATTCACTCTCTCAAGTTCACGTGTCACGAGATCTCTCTCTGAACCTAGCAACTTGGACTAGAAGTTGTGATTTTATATTTCAAAATAATACTTAGAGAAAAGTGAAAAGAAATCTATTACAGTTGGCTAATAATGGGCTCTTTGCCCCATACATTTTTCACAGAAAAATGCCTAGCAAGTAACAATAATTTTAAATGCATTTATTTTGATTTTAAATTAATACAGACTTTAAAATTTTCAGGTGTTTTCCCTTTTTTGTCTCAGCCCCATTTATTTTTTTCTCCTTTTCTCCTGTTCCCTCCCCTAGAAAAAGGTGAAGAGGTACCAAAACTTATGAAAATGTTCTTCTTATCCTGCTATTTAATTACAGCAGGATAAGAATATGGAAAGGCATGTTTTAGCCACTTTAAATGCTTTCCAAGTTTGCAAGTCATAAACATCAAAATATTTAGCTAAAAAAAGTTTTGGTTTTCACCAAACCTCTGTTTTCCTCATGAAAATTGTCCCAACAGTTGTTTTTGTCCTAACATCTTTGAGTGGCATGAAACACACCAAACAGACAAACAATTCCTTTTAGCCACAAATTTCACCAAGGTCTTGTTTTAGAACCAGCACCTTTGCCACCAGCTCTCCCGAGATCCCCTTAGGCCCTCCTCTTATTTACTCTATGATAATTATCTCGGTGGATGACCAGTTTGCATTTCTAATTCTTTCCACTTCAGGGGTGAATAACTATCAACTAGGTTCTCTCTGCTGCTAATTATGGATCAACGGAAACAAGCTAATTGCCTGGCTTGCTCCTGTAACTGATCCTAGGGTGTTTGAACGCCACAATGATGAACAAGGTTTAAATGCCTCAGACACACAGTATGGGAAAGCCCACAGATAAACTGCTTTCATACCTTTTACTAGATCCCAAGCCCAAAAGGCTGAGAGACAACTGCAGTTTCAAATGATAAACATCACAAGATTTTGTGTATTAGTTTACTATCTCAAAGTCAAGCATGATCTGAGTAGTAGGAGCTGCACAGATGGAGTCAGCAACATTTAAACCTCTGAAAGAGCATCAGGCTGCCTTGGGACTTCTGCTGTTTATTTTGTCACAGGTTGAACTCTGTGACAAGTCTACAAAGAATGAGTTTGCTACAGCCCGAGCTAGAGTGTTTTGGCTCTTTAGAAGCTAGTGCTTCGGGTACAGGTCCCCGGTTCAGCCCCAACTGTCAGTCACGACAATGGCCATCACACCCCCGGAAGGGCTAAGCTCCCTCCGCTGTTTTCAGTCCCTATCAACCACCCAGCTCGGCACGCTGAGCCCAACGCCACGTTCTGTTTGAGATTCACCATCCCAGCTTGTCCAGACACTGAGAAACACACGTTAACCTGCCCCTGTTGGCATGGGAAGAACGGATCCACCCGCAATCCTTCTAGTTATGGACAAGCAAAGCTCAAGGCCCACAGAGCACACGTGGGGCTGCGCTCCTGGGTGGCTGGCAGTAGTTTGGGAACATGACACTGGATAAGTCTGCTAGTTGCTCATTTTAATATACCTGGGATCACTCTGTAACAAGGTGGGATGGGGACACCTAGGAGACACTCAACACAGGCATGTTCTGCCTTCCCCCCTTTTGACCGCCACACACTGCCCAGTTTGCCTGCCCTTAACTCCCACCCACAGCAAACTGGGAACTGAATGAAAGACCAGGCTCATCCCACCCAGCACGTAAAGCGCCACGGTGTCCGAACAGCGGCCACGCAAACCTGCCTCCAGATCACCAGGCCGGGGGCTCTCAGCCTTTTTGGGCTGCAGGCCCCACCACAGACCCGAGCCCCCTCTGGGAAGTGCCGGCTTTTTGTTTTCGCCCCTTTCTGACTGGGAAAAAATAAATCAAGGCGCGATTCCTCTGGGGCCAAGGATGCAGGGAGGCCCCCAGGCTTCCC